TCCCTGCCCCTCAGACCCTCCCCTGCCCTTCGGACCCTCCCCTGCCCCTCAGGCCCTCAGCCCCTCCCCTGCCCCTCAGGCCCCTCCTCCACTTTGTCTCACTCTGCTGTTTCCTTCCTCTGTCCCAGCCCACCTGTTCCCTCTGTTCTGGCCTCTTTATCCTGGCTTGCTGTCTTGACCCTTCTGTACTAGTCCATCTCTCTGTGGGTGGAATGGGGCTGTCAATGGCGGAGATCAGAGAGAGCTGGGAGGCAAGTCCTGGAGGGGTCCTATGGAGCTAGAGGGCCAGCGAGGGCCCAGGGCGGTCAGAGAGCAGGGAAATGTCAGGCTGTCCTCTGACTGAATCCCCATCGGCTCTGCTCCTCTGCGGGGAGATGTCAGCACCCCCTCCCACTGCATCTGTTGCTAAGATGGGGCCGGGCTCAGAGCTGAGATGAAGCGCAACCCCCTTAACCAGGGGCTCAGACCTCCACGGATCCACAACCCCGGAACTCAACAGCCACAGACAGGGCCACTGCACTCAGGGGTCTGACACCCACAGCTGGAGGCTGGGCCTCTGGACACCGACACCTGGGCCAGTTAGCTGGCCAGGCCGCCTCCACAGTCCTGTTCATCACGCGGTCTGGCAGCTCCCGTCTAAATCCCACGCACTTGAGGGGGCAGGTGGGGGCAGGAGACTGTCTGTGGGACAGTTTCCCTGAGAAGGGCTGTCCCTGCGTGTGGACCCCTCCAGTGGGGACAGTGAGCGTGGTCTGGGCTGTGTGGTCCCCTGCAGTGCGCTCTGCTCTACCTAGAAAGGGTGTTGTCCTGGTCAGGAGGGGTGCTGGACACAGCTCCTGGCTCTGTGGGTGCCACTCTGAGACCTGGCTGCCCCAGGCATCTGGAGTGACCAGTTCTCAGAGGACAGCGCATGGCCCCCCGTTGAGAAGGTGTGCAGAGCAGGGCTCGCTGGTGCTTATGTGGCACCGTTGTTTGTGGTGATGAGATGTGACGGTCGTAAGTGAAGTTTGCTCTGACTTACGTCGGTTCACATACGCAAGAAAAGGTGAACTGGCCTCACGTGCTGTACAGACCGCAGCGTACCGAGCGCTGGAGGTGGGCTCCAGGTTGTCCACTGACTGTCCTGCAGGAAACACGGAAACCCCATCTTCCCACCCACTTCGGGGCGGCGCTGCTTCGGGGCCACTGCCCAAGGCCCCAGTAATGTCCTGTCTGTCTGTCCATCTGCAGGAGCCGGCATGGTGGTGGACTGGGAACAGGAGTCTGGGCTCCTTATGAGCTCAGGGGACGTGCGAGTCATCCGGATCTGGGACACGGAACGGGAGATGAAAGTGCAGGTGAGGGTGCGATGAGGGCAACTCTGCCTCCCTCCCCGTGCCCGGGGCCCTACTGTGCGCAGCTCTGCCCTATGCCACCGGCCCCTCCACAAAGCACAGTGCCCTGTCTCAGAGGAAGAATCCTATAAGATGGCGTATGTGGGGAGCAGGGTTCCAGGAACCTGAGGTCCCAGGAGAGCGAGTAGTGAGCACACCTCAGCTGACCCGGCTGTGGCCACGAACCCCAGGGCCCGAGCTGGGGCCTCGCAGGGCCTGGGGCTCCAGCCAGCTCTTCAGGGTTTTTACCATTTTGCTTTAAAAACAACTTTATTCTTTGATGTTTAGAAGGCTAGAGGTCCAGATTAGGGGTGCCAGCTCAAGGGAGGGATCTGCTGTGGAAGAAAGCCCGTCTCCTTCAGCGTCTGTGGGCCTAGTGTTTCCTGGAGACCCACATGTCCACGTGTCCTGGTCTCCAGCCTCCCGAGGTGGGACACCTTCCACTCCTGGCCACGCCTTATCCGTGGCACTGAGGTCCCCTCCGCCAGCCTCCCTCCCCTCCTCTTACAGCCCTTACTGCTTACATCAGGTCAGGAGTGCGATGGCATTAGAGATTGTGGCATCCCACCCTGAATCTTTTTTTTTATATTTTTTTTTTTTTTTTTGTGAATGTACTGTCAAATCAGATCTAACTAGTACAGGAGGAGATTGTCCCTCCTTCTCCAGCAGAGCATCTGGTAGATTTGAACTGCTCACCTCTGGGATTACAGTGCAGCTTCTTGCCACTAGGCCACCAGAGCTCGCCACCCTGAATCTTTTGAACCTTTGTTTTACCAGACTGTGAGGGCTTGGTTTCCACCTTATGTCATTGCATCCATGTATTTTAGAAGGATTCCATTCAATCCACGACATTCCGCCCTTTGCCCTACCCCACTTACACCCTTGTCACCTGCAGAACACCTTCTCCTGTGGGTCCAGGATGCAGGTTACACACACTGGTGACACGGAGAGAGAGGCTCTTTCCTTACAGATGGAGCAATTTCAAAACTAAAAAGATCACAGGCACCTGTCGTTAGGTGCCCTTGAGCTGACCATGACTCACAGTGACCCTGCGACAACCCTGTCCTCCCCGTCTCTGCCATGCCTGGGCCTCTATGGTGGTCACTGTGTCAGCCTGCCTCACTGAGAGGCTTCCTCTCCTCCACTGATGCCCCCGTCTCCCAGCATCCTCTCTCCAAGGGTTGGCCCCGCCTGAAAAGAGGCCCAAAGGAGGTGAAGTGAAGCTCCATCTCCTCGCCTCCAAGGAGCGCGTGGGGTGCCGGTCCGCAGACGCGTCTGTTCCCCTGGTCTCCATGGGACATTCCGTGCTCTTCGCCTCCACCGCAGTCCACAGACATCCGTTCTTCTTCCTTATCCGTCGTCCAGCTTCAGCTGCGTGGGAGCGTTGAACATACCCTGGCGTGGATCGGGGCACCTCAGTCTTGAATGGCGTTCTTTCTCCTCGGCGCTGTGGGAGGCCCGTCTCCAGGCAGCGTGGCTCTCAGTGCCTGGATTGCTGCTCCCATGGTGCTGACTGTGGGTCCACGTACAACCAAGTCCTTGGCGTCCGTTTTTTCTCTGTCCATCGTGACGTTGCCTGTTAGCGAGTGGTGAGGGGCTTTGTCTTCTTGGTGTTGAAGTGTAGCCCACATTGAAGACCACGGTCTTTGCGCTTCTGGAGCACGTCTGCAAGTCCTCTACAAACTTCGAAGGTTGTGTCTTCTGAACAGCCCAGACTGGTGATGCGTCTTCCTCCAATGCTGATGTCACATTCTTCAGAGCCCAGCTTCCCAAATGCTTTACTCAGCAGACAGATTGAATCGGAGAAAAGAAACAGCTCTGATGTACAGCCTTCCTGATTTTAAACCATGCAGTGTCCCCTGGAAATCCCCTCCACTGACCTCTGTCCTGTCCTCCCAACCTCACAGGTCACCAGCAGCTTGGCTCCCAACCCTTTTCTTTAGAAAGCGGGACTGAGAGGGCTTCTCCCTTCTTAGGGCCACAGGCTCAGCGAGGTCAGGTGCAGACTTGACCGTGGCCCCTCAGCCCCCCTAGTCCTGCCTGGCCTTGTCTTCTAGTCCTTCCCTGCCTTGGGGAACCTTGGGAGCCTCAGAGAACTTCTGGACAGGCTGGACAGGCCTTGGGGGCCGCTAGAATTTTGGAAGTCCCTAGGTCCAGTCCCATGTGGGTGTAGAGCAGGGTCCCCACAGTCTCAGCCTCCACACAGCCATGGGAGCACTGCTCACTGGATCCTGGTCCTCAGATCGCTCATCATGTCCTGGCCCTGTCCTGGTGGGCAGATGGAGCCTGTAAGGGAAGCGGCTTGGTCCTTCAGGGCCAGGCAGAGCCAGTGGGGTGCCAAGCCGAGCAGGGGCAGAGCTGGGGCGCGAAGCCCATGGAGAGTGTCAGCCCTCAGCAGCCTTGTCCCGTTCACGCTTTGCTGCTGGCCGTTGAGAGCTTCGTCAGCCTGGGAGCTTGAGGGTTTGTGACCCTCTCCTCTAACTGAGGCTCTGGGGACAGGCGAGGACCCTCATGCCACAGTGCCCCCTTTCTTTTAGAGAGGACGGCTCAGTCAAATGGACAGGACAGATTCCTACAGGGTGACCATGGTGTGGTTCCCCCAGACCCCAGAGTCCCGCGTGGGTGAAGGGAGGGGCACCTCAGGAGGGGCAGTAAACCAGTGTGGGTCCCTGAGCGTCACCACCTATCCCTGTCTTGGTCCCAGGATATCCCCACGGGTGCAGACAGTTGTGTCACCAGCCTGTCCTGTGACTCCCATCGCTCCCTCATCGTGGCCGGCCTGGGCGACGGCTCCATCCGTGTGTACGACAGGAGGATGGCCCTCAGCGAGTGGTGAGCACCAGCCTGGCTGGACCTGTGCCCTCGCCACCTGCTGTCACCCCGTCCTGTTCCTGACTTCTCAGCCACCGGCCCTCTTACTGAGAGGGCACGGGGTCTGGTGTGCGCTCCTCCCCGGATCCCCCCACAGCCCTCCTCGCCCCTCGGGGTTGGGTGTGTGGGCGCATGTAGGCTGAGTGGGGACTCTGGACTCAGTCTGCTCAGCCCTGAGGCCCCATTGACCGGCTGGACATGTGGGCTTGGAGGGCAGGCGGCCGAGCAGAGAGGACCAGCGCCAACCAGGGATGGCCAGGGTCCCGAGTCAGGTCAGGACGGTCGGGTCAGCTCAGGCCGCAGGGTTAGGCTGGTCAGGTCAGACATCCAGGGCTGGGAGCATGGGTTGCACCTGGGGGTTGTGGACACCTCTCTAAGAAAAGGGCTTTCTGAGGGGATAAGCTTGGTAACCCTGGTCCTAGCTGGCGGCCTGGAGCACAGTGTTTGCTGAGCGGACACCCAGGACCCCAAAACGCATGGGCCGGGGACAGGCTGAGTCTCTGACTATATGGACTCCCAAGAAAGGGACCCCATGAGCAAGAGCGTAGACCCGGGAGGCGCACTGAGGAGAGCAGGGGCTGACCAGCCCCACGGCTCTGGAGAATGTGGGCTCCACTTACAGGCGGACGCCCTGCTTCCTGGTGCGTGCCTCTCCCCGTGGGTCCTGGGGCCCTGCTCCCTGACCAGACCTTCTTCCCACAGCCGCGTCATGACCTACCGTGAGCACACAGCCTGGGTGGTCAAGGCATACCTGCAGAAGCACCCCGAGGGCCACATCATGAGTGTCAGGTGAGGGGACACACCGGGGGACAAGCACTGGTCCCGGCACTTGAGGCAGTAGTGAGGCTCTGCCCGCGGCAGCCACATTGGTCAGGGCTGGGCTGGGCCCTGGGCAAAGGAGTGTCCTGGCGTCCTCCCCAGGCTTGCACGGCCAACCTCGCCCCTCTCACAGCCCCTGGTGGACACTGTGCTGGGAGCAGTGGGTGTCCTTTATCCATGCAAGCACCACTAATGGCCTTCGTCCAGAGGAATGACAGCCCTGGGTGGGTTGGCTCAACAGGGCAGCCAGTTAGTCAGAGGTGGGGACGGGCACTTAGCCACGTGCCAGTCCTCTCTTCCCAGGACAGAGCAAGCAGTGCCTGTCCTCTGCATCTGTCCCAGTTTCCCCAGACCCAGGGCTCCAACTCAGTGGACACGGAGGGGTCTGTGCTCACTGAGCCCTCTGTGCTCACTGTGTCTCCCTCGGCAGTGTCAACGGGGACGTGCGCTTCTTCGACCCCCGCATGCCGGAGTCTGTGAACGTGCTACAGATCGTGAAGGGTCTCACGGCCCTGGACTTCCACCCGCAGGCCAACCTCATCGCCTGGTAGGTGCCGGCCGGCCGCGCCCACAGCCCCGCCAGCCTGCACCCCTCACACACCTCCAGGCCTTGCCTCCGTTCCACACCCAACCCCTGCCCGTACGCGCACCCCCCTCCATCCCATCCCACCTGTACCCCACCTCCACACCCACACCGACACCCAACCCCTGTCCGTACACGCACCCCACCTTCACACCCACACTCACACCGATCCCTGCCCATACATGCACCCCACCTTCATTCCATCCCCACCTGTACCCCACCTCCATACCCACACCCCATCCCTGCTTGCACCCCACCTCCATCCTCACACCTCCACCCCATCCCTGCCCATACACGCACCCCACCTCCACACCCACACTCACACCGATCCCTGCCCGTACATGCACCCCACCTTCATCCCATCCCCACCTGTACCCCACCTCCATACCCACACCTCCACCCCATCCCTGCCCGTACGTGCACCCCACCTCCATCGTCACACCTCCACCCTATCCCCACCTGTACCCCACCCACAGGCCACCCTCATCTTTACAGGTGCCACCCTGCCCCCAGGTGGGGTCTGTCACACCAGCTCACCCGCAGGGTTAATCACCCCCAGGCCAGCCCCCCAGGGAGGGGGCACCTGACCCTAGGGGGCACCTGACCCTAGTGACCCCTGTTCGTGAGGCTGAGCTGGGAGGAGCCGCTGGGGCCTTCCAGCACCCTGCACCCCAGCCCCTTGGACAGTGCCCACAGCACCCCACACCCCAGACACCCTGGACCTCTCTGTCCTCTAGTGGCTCCATGAACCAGTTCACTGCCATCTACAACGGCAACGGCGAGCTTATCAACCACATCAAGTACTACGACGGCTTCATGGGCCAACGGGTCGGCGCCATCAGCTGTCTGGCCTTTCACCCACACTGGGTCTGTATCTGGGGGGCGCCCTGGGCCTATATGGGGGCACTGGGTCTATACCCAGGGGAGCACTGGGTCAGAACCTGGGGGACATTGGGTCAGTACCTGGGGCACACTGGGTCAGAACCTGGGGGAGCACTGGGTCAGAAATTGGACACTGGGTCAGAACTTGGGGGGGACACTGGGTCAGTACCTGGAGGGGCACTGGGTCTATACCCAGGGGAGCACTGGATCAGAACGTGGGGGACACTGGGTCAGAACCTGGAGGAGCACTGGGTCAGTACCTGGGGGGGACACTGGGTCAGAACCTGGGGGAGAGACTGGGTCAGTACCTGGGGGAGACACTGGGCCAGTACCTGAGGGACACTGGGTCAGTACCTGGGGGAGACACTGGGTCAGTACCTGGGGGAGACA